GGGGTTTTCGCAAATCCCGAACGTCGATTATTTCCATTCGTCTTCCCCTTGCCCCTAATCAGAATCCATCAAACTGATGCTTGCGGTAGCAAACGAGAAGGGCATGAACGTCAATCACTGGGATGTGAAGCAGGCGTACACACACGCCACGCTAGACGAGGAGGTTTTGCTGAGGCTCCCCGCTGGGTGCGGGGACAAATCGCATAAAATTGTTAAGGCTGAGCGTGCGATTTATGGTCTGAAGCAGAGCGGTAGGCAGTGGGGGTACCACGCTGCTGATACGCTAGTCGAGAAAGGGTTCGAGCAGTGCAAGGTGGACCCGTGTGTTTTCCGCAAGATGGTAGACGAAGTCGTGGTGATGACTATCGTGATTTATGTGGATGACATTTTGGTGGCTTGGTCTGATGAGGATTGCGAGGAGTTGCTTGCTTCTCTCAACAAGAAGTTTCTCACCAAAAATCTGGGAGAATGCGAATGGTTTGACGGGTGTACCATCGAGAGAGATGTAGAGGCTGGGACTCTCAAAATCTCGCAAACCGCGTACATCGACAGCATGGTGGAACCCTTTGATGTACAATCGACCTCCCGCATCCCTGCTTCCCCTGGTGTCGACCTAGGACCGAAGCGAGATGACGAGAAGGGAGGGGAGTGGCCGGTGAGGGAGGCCATCGGCAGCATGATGTGGGTGTCGAGGTTCTCGCGTCGCGACGTCTCGTTCGCCGTGCGCACGGTAGCGCGCCACGCCCACGCCCCGGCGAAGAGGCACTGGGATGCCATCCAGANCTGTGCTTTCTTTTGTTGCCCCAGAGACCAGAGGTAGTAGCATCCAGGTCCTTGAGGACAACCAGAGGGCCATAGCGTTGATGCAGAACCCCCTCAGCTCAGGTCGCACGAAACACATCGACGTGAGGTTTCATTTGATCCGCGGATTGTTTAGGTCGGGGGATATTACGGTCAGTTTTGTTCCGACAACGGAGCAACACGCGGACCTCTTACCAAGGCCTTTAGCAGGGCCAGCCTGCAGTACCACCGGCGCAAGTTGATGAACCCTAGCTGTAGCAGTTTTTAGCACTTGCGTTGGACTTTCAAATAGGTGCGGCCGTTGTGATCCGCTGTGATAGCGACGGTTTTTGTGGTGGTAGGGGTTTATTCGAGGGGTTTTGCCCGGACGCCGGTTTCCCCTCCATATATTACCGTGTTGGTATTTCTGATGTATCCAGGGGCGTTCTTGCCCCATTGATGGTTAGTCACTTGCGTGAAGAACCATGGAGGGTGTTCGTGGGTCTGCGAACATTGATGTTGGATACATGTGCTGTATGATTTGGTGTCACGCAGATTGGTAAGATTGTCGTTTGGTAGGGGGCACCGCGATGAGCCACGGGGCCCCTCCTTGGTGTAGGAGCTGCCCATGTGGGGCATTCCCTCTTTCGTCCGTGTGAAGGTCGGTCTTTGACCTCTCGTGAAGTTATTACATCACCAAAACAGTCTCACCCGATGAATAAGTGGCGCAGGCCGCAAACAGGAGACACCCCTTGACCGAGTGCGGAGGGCAGTATGGGGGATGCTGTATGCCGAAGATGCCGCGTCGTATCGAGGTCTGCAGAAGGACTGGCGAGAATGATGACCATCCTCGTTGAGGTGTTCGGGGAGGTCGGGCTAACGGTGTCGGAGAAGAAGACGGAGACGCTCCTGATTGATGCGCGCGAAGGACAAACCGACTACAACATCACAGCTCCCCCCGCCTTCGCCGCTTACCATCGAAGCCGCGGGGCAGAAATACGCCCAGACGACCGAGTTCCGGTCCCTCGGTGGCCTCGTCAANAGATGCCGCGTCGTATCGAGGTCTGCAGAAGGACTGGCGAGAATGATGACCATCCTCGTTGAGGTGTTCGGGGAGGTCGGGCTAACGGTGTCGGAGAAGAAGACGGAGACGCTCCTGATTGATGCGCGCGAAGGACAAACCGACTACAACATCACAGCTCCCCCCGCCTTCGCCGCTTACCATCGAAGCCGCGGGGCAGAAATACGCCCAGACGACCGAGTTCCGGTCCCTCGGTGGCCTCGTCAACGAACATGGCGACCTCCCCCGGGAGATCAACTACGTACAGGAGCAGAGGAGCGTGGGCGTGCCTCAGGCGATATGGCCGGGAGCTCTTCGACAGACCGCAAGCGCCATTCCGACTCAAGATCCGCCTGCTCCAGGCGGAGGCGATGGAGGCACTGCTGTACGGCTGCATGACATGGTCACCACTCAGCGGCCACTATCAGACGCTGCGGTCGATACACCACCGACTGCTCCTTCGAGTTATCAGGGACAAGCGCAAGAAAATCACCTACCGGCAGCTCCCTTACGCCCAGACGCTGAAGAGGGTCAAATGCCACAGTGTTGAAGCCACGATCCGACAACGACGCCTGCTATTCGCGGGAGCATTGGCAAGGAAGCCGGACGGGCGACTCCCGAAACGACTGATGCTCGGCGAACTGGCGAGGGGGGAGAAAGGACGTATGGGGGGACAGGAACAGAACTGGCCGAAGTGTGTGCTCGACGACCTGAAGGCATTCGGGGCCGACCACGGATCTACGAAAACCGATCCATGTTGTCTCGGAATCCCGGTACCGAAAGACACGGCACCGAAGTTAAAGTGGACGGAAGCCGCGAAGGTGGAGGGGGGAGTACCCTGGCATGTGGCGGTGCTGCAGGGAGCTGAGAGGTTCATGACCTACTGGCACGAGAAGGAAGAAGAGGCCAGCCGACAACGGGCGCTCAAACGAAACCACAAGCCAACAACCAATGGGGCGGGAGGCAGGCAGGAGACGGACGAGACGGCGAGGGAAGAAAGCAAACGAGAATAGACGGACCGAGTGGCACGATACGTGCCGGATTGAATTTCTATTGGCCAATTCCCCCCGCCCAACGCTGCACCATTGCACCAACCCACCACTAGTGATGACGTACCATTACAATGTATCGCTGGTTGGTGGCCATGTTTGCGTGTTTGCTTGTTCGTTATTGGTCTCTCCACCGTGTGCCTTTTCCTGTCTCTTGTTTTTTGTTATTTTCGGCCTGGTCCCTTTGTGTCCTCGCTGTTTTTCATTTTGTTTTCTCCTTCCTTACTGTTTTCTTTTATTTTTTTCTCTTCTGCTCTGTTTTCTTTATTTCTCTCTTTTTTTTTCTCTTTTTTTCTCTCTTTTTCTGTGCCAGATGGCCATGTCCCTGCTTGCGTTGTGAAGTACAAAGATTGAACCAAGCGGGTGTACATCTTTCTCTCCGGCCTGCGATGGTGACTCCTAGTCTCAGTTGTTACCTCGCATAGCGCGCAGAGGGAGTGGAGGACTCCAGAATATCTGTCGTTGATTTCTATTGACTTGCGGACCCGTCGGGGCCATTTTATTTGAGTGTACACCTTTTTAGGGAAAGTTAACTTGTGACCACGGGAATCGACCGCGTCGAGTGTTGTATCAGTACGGACATACGAAGGTACTGGGTAGAGAGGGATCGGAACGGTTTTTAATGTGAAGACGACGACAACAACCACAACAACAACAACAACAACACGTACTTGCGCAATGACATAATAGCTCAAAACCATACATGAGTACCGCCGCAGTAGCCTTCGCAAGGATAGCATAATCCAACTCACGAACATTTTATGTGGGTAAGTGACATGGTGCAGCCTGTGAACATGAAATCGACCGCGTCAAGTTTTACATACAGTTCCAAATAAATTCAAGAATTTCCTTCTGTTTCAACGTTTAGAATCGACAAGAGTTGCCGCCGTTGGTTCCGTGCCCCCTCTCGGCCTCTACCTTCTCGTTGACAACGATCTCCTCTTCTTGCTTGTCGTCAGAAGCCGCGGTCAAACGGGTGCAGGCCTATGTAACAACAACATCGAAAACATATGCCAAACTTCGAAAGCTAGAGGCGTCCGGGTTATCGATAGACTTATGCTTTGCATGCCATAGCGGTTAGACCATTGACCACGCGTCCTCGAGAGGGCGGAGCATTGTTCCCACAGTACCGATCACCAATGGCCAATCGTTTTTTCCTACTTTGCCAAAGCTGGCTCAAAACTGTCTTCCCTACATGTAGTCTATCCTATCGATATCTCTTGCCGCCTTTTCAACCCACTTCCTATGCCCCACTACAGCTACCGTCTTATCCTGGCTATTCCATGCGTCAATCATCTCCCAGTACCTTCCTCCTACTTGTCTCAGCTCGGCCATGTACACTTCCCACTCATTCTTGTACAACCGAGGTTCCGCGACCACATGAACTCGGTCTTCGCACTCGGAGCCGCAATCACAACAGAACTTGTCGTTTTCATCGTCTACCTTCCTATACCTTCGTCTACGTTCTCGGAGGCCAATGTCCCCGGTCCTGAATTTGACCTTCAGTTTGTCCCTGCATCCATTGGTCCATGGAGGTACTCCTTGAACCCCATTATTCCTGCCTTCAACATTCCGTACACTTAGGCCCTCCTTATCCTTGGTTTCTTTTCTTAGATAATGTTTTTCTCTCTCGGTAAAAGCAACGGATATTTTCTCCTTCAACCCCCCAGTAGACCCTCCGTCTCCAACGTATCATCTTCGTCAATTTCGAACCCCTTCCATACGTAATCTACAACCTCGACCCACCCCATGGGTTGTCTACCCCTCTTCTTGTTTGCCCACTCCGCCTCCTAATCTATTCTCGGCAACCTCTCCCATACCCACATGCGATACCGCCATGTCAGCTTCCTTGCGTCTCTTCCCGATCGTAGGGATCGGATCCCCAGTTCTGCCCTGACGGCTGCATTATTTACTTGTGCGCTGGGGGGCGGGGGTTATGTGTTTATTTGGGCTTTACCTAAAGGGTATTGGAGGTCTACAATCAGCCCAGAGTGTGAAATCTGATGACACGATAAGAGAACCCGGTGACGAGGGGGAAGGGGTTTACTCATGTTTCGCATGCCATATACTCCAGTAAATAGCAATAAATAGCAAGACCATTGACCACGCGCCCTCTACAGGACGGAGACTTTTCCCCATAGGACCAATTACCGATGGCCAGTCGTTCCTTCCTCCGTTATCAAAGGTGGCTCAAATAGGTTTTCCTCCCCTTTCTATCCTATCGATATCATGTCCCGCCTTTTCAGCCCACTTCCCCTGGCTATCCCCGTCTCAGTCATGTAGACTTCTCTCTACTTTCCGTAAACCCGACTTTTTGCAACTTCATGATCTCGTGCTTGGCATTTAGCACCTGGCGGGTGCTTCTTCGGGGCTTTCCCCAAACTATCGGCCGTATAAATCAATCCAGTGTGTGTAGAACTCTTGTGTGAGACACGGAATGACGGGCGGCAGTACTGGCCCACAAAACCGAAGCACAACCCATGTCGAAGCTTCACTCACTTATATCCTCAGGGTAGGGTGAAAGGTGCTTCATCGTTACTTCCTATACGATGTTTCGAACGCGATTACAGGTGCCATGGAACAACCGAATCCGTCAAACATGCGGCGAAAGGGGTTTGGTGAGCACTTGACGAATGGTCATGTTCTAGGTATTTACGTTGCTGAGCCACGCAATACCGCCCGTACCCGTGCTGTTTGTTTTCGCAAAGTGAGGATCAAGATACTACGGGCACTGAGGATAGGGCTAAGTGATGCACGGTAAGGTGTTTGCACTCGCGTACTGACAATTTTCTATGCTAGCTTCTACCCGAGGGCGTGTCAGTACAAAGACATTGGGGCGCCCACCATTACCCTAAGGCGCTAACAACAGCAGCCCAGTCGCCCACCAGAACGAGAACAATAATAAGGAACGTGTCATTGGCACACAGCATCTGCACTCCGCCAAGCACCCAGATGTCAGCCACAAACAACCGTATTCTTGTGTCACGGCGGCTAATCAGGGCGGCCTTGTGAGCGTCCCGCAAGGGACGGCAATCCTGTTGACGGTATCCTGACCGGTTTGGATATGGGAAATCCAGACCGATCAGGATATTCGAGGGGGGGCACACGGAGTAATCCGTGTGTGCGGCCATATGCCCCTGTTCTCAGATGATAATTCGGCGGAGCTCCTGAACGCTGAATAAGCGTTCAGACTCGAAAAACGACGCAACGACGATCGATCGAAGAGCAAGCCAAAGCTGAGAAAACACCCCCAACCCCGGGTATATCGGAACCACTTCCCACGTAAGGAGTCCGTCAGACAGCTAGTCCTTGGGGACGTCAACGTTCAGTATGTGCATGTAGTTCAGGTGCCTCATGAGCGATCGAGATTTACTCGTGGGGTCAGGTACAGCTCCTTGACGGTGGGTTTACCCATTCCGAAGAGCAAGGATAGTCAGTGACACGTGTGGATATTCCCCTCTTTACTTCAACTCTACCCCATTTCAAGAGCGTACCACCAACTGAACCCCAGCCAGGTAGTGCGTAGGTGTGTCCATGGAATACCCATGCTTAACCACTTTCGACTACTGTTAGATTACACCCGAATCGACGTCCTATGTAAGCGGGAAACAGCTCTGAGGCACCTACCGCTTGCACCTTGTTACCTTTTCCATCGAGATAATACTGCAACCGGGACTATCTGGTACTGATAATAGCAAAGACGCCCTCATGACTCTTCCCTCACGCGCCCTTCCATACGTTCTGGGCGCCGACGTACATTCTGGCGCCGTTCTGGGTGGTCATCTCGCCCGCCAGCATCCTCCGACTTGCGGTTTATAACCTGTAGGTGGCTCGATGTAGTAGAGTGGATCGCTGCGATGAGATTCGGCATAGCGCAAGAACAGGGGGGAAACTCCGGATCATCTCCAGTGCTTTCCTACTCTGCTCTGTGTGCAAAAAGGCTGAGCTTGGACCTACGGAATGTCAGGAGTCGGTCGGTGATTTGCCGTGTGTTTCCAGTCACGAGCGATGACGAACAACAACCTTCCATTCGCCAATAATAACACATACACAACCTCTGGAGTGCACCCATCTTATACAGGGGGTTATGTTCTGCCACGTTTACGTGTTGGCACATTACAGGCCTGGTTTCTTGCGTCTCCCCAGATGTGAGAGATACGAACGAGTAGGAGGGCAGTGAATAGGCACTGGTAAATCTTTTGTGGAGCGTTACACAGCAGACAGAATCCACACTCCCGAGAAATACAACACCGGTCGATAGGAGGAAAGAGCCACACACGGAAGTAAAACCAGGACCCCCGATAACAGCATCACATGTGCAAAGCAAACAGCGGGGTGGGATGCTTTGCGTGTGCTGACAGGCAGACGAGGGGTAAAAGCTGTGGTGGAAACGTGTGTACATGCTCACGTGCGAAATCAATACAACAAACAGAATCCAAGTACGGTGTGCCCAGCGCACACAGGTACAATCGAAGGACAACAAAAATACCGCAAGTTCGGAGAAGCGCTTCAGCAGCAGCAGTTTATGTAAGGTCACCGCCTTTGTCGCCACACCTAACAACACCCGCTGGGCGCGATGAATCTGACGAGGACACGTTTGATGTGAGGTTTGCTTTGACGGGAGGGTGGCGGCCTGACGCAGCTGGCATCGAAAAAACGATTCTGTTTTTGCCCCCAAAGAAACAGGCAGCTATTAGCTGGTAATTAACATTTTTGAGCTGCTGCTCAATATGATCCGGATCTAAAATAGAGACTGCACCAGTGGGTAATGGACCCAGATTCGCCTACCTTCGGATTGTGGCGCACCTTACAACGCAACTTGATGTGTTTTGGGACTGGTATAGTCTACTCCTATATAATTTCGTTGGAAGGTAGGCAACGACTTCTGTACAACGTACCTCCCTCCCTCGCTCACAGAAAATTTGTCATCCACCAAGCAGAGGCAGCGACCTCCTCCGAGTCCT